CCCTAGAGATCCCGCTGGGACAGTCTGAGGAGACCTTTCCATATCCCCTGTTACCAGAGGCCATTTCTGATGGCCCAGGCTTTAGAAAATGTCTTCACAGCAACCCAGTGGGACAAGCTATGGTTATAATACCCAAATAATCATTTCACAAATTATCATAATTATCAATCAATCATCCCATTCGAACAATGCATTTCTGAAGTATCAGATGGTTTTCATGACCTGTAGCATTTTGTATACAATAAGAAGCCTGGCGAGATTTATAGGTTCATATGTGCAGCAACAAAGCTAAGTTATTTTTTAATTTCAAAACCCACGCTACCAACAACTTTCTACTTGCATGGCACACTTTGTGGTACTTCCTAAACGGTCAACGTTTCCCGGGCTGAGATAGTCTGGTAGCCTTGAGCATTGTTTAGTGAAAACCCAGTTACTTACTTTGGAAAAAAGGGGTTACTTTCAGATTATATTTTCTTTCCATCTGCACTGTATTATCAGCATCTTACATGTTGTAATATAAAATAAAGTGAGCCAAAAAAGGGCAAAAGAAAAAATGGGATATATATATATATATATATATATATATATACACACAGAGAGAGAGAGAGAGAGAGAGAGAGAGAGAGCTCTATGATATCAGATTGAATCTAACTCTTTTTAAAGAGGATGGTATCTCCTTCTCCCTGCGTAGTACAGTCTTGTTAATGGATAAATTCAAGCTCTCCAGAAAGTCAAAGAATACATTAAAAACCTTTTGCCAAATGTCTATCCTATTGGATTTTGATAAGATGGCTATTGAGCTTTAATAATGTCTTCTATCCATTTTCAGCTGGCCCTTAACATGTCTCTTTATTTGTCCCTAAAGCCTCTTCAGTGATGCCTTTTTATTACAAGTCTCTCAGCTTGCTCTCCCGGGAGACAGGGCCGACAAGAGTGATAGATAGATAACTCTATAGATTATCTCCCACAGATGTTTTCTCTCCAGTAGCCCCTCAGGCGATTCCCTCTAAGTAAACAGAGACTAAATAGAAAGTCTACCGAAGAGAGAAGTCCCTGAGGTCTCTTGTCACCACGGTTGGAAAAACAGTCCCTCCAGAAGAGGTTGGTTGGGAATGCAGGGGCCTGCACCCCTCTCAGCATGATTCTCACATGTTCATTCAAAGTGACTTTTAGAGCAAAGTTAAATACAAGAAGCATTACCCATCCTAAATTAAAGCATCGTGGAATGAACACTGGCATCATTTTCCTACCTGAACAGGGAGTATTACCTTCGTTTCCCTCTCAATGTTAAATCAAACTGATAAGGATATAAAGCTGTATTATCTGCAGTGGGGAAGCTTGGAAAATGCAGATAAAAAGCACATCAGCTGCCCTTTAAGAAAAATAAAATAGAGGCCAGCAGATTTCATCAGGCAAGATGTGCTTGGGAATATATAAAAATATCTCTATGAACATAAAAATGTATGTGCACATGAATCTACCCGAGGGGATGTATGCGGTGTATTAAAGAAATGTGATTTTTTTACCTGATTCTCTTTAAGCAAATACTTCAACCTCCAGAAAAAAGTATTCCAAACGATGTATTGGCCCAATGCAATCAAAGCTAATGATATGCACATACACAAAAATGTTTGGCAGTTCACTTTGGCTGGGATGCACATGCTTAGAGGTTGGAATTATTCTATGAACTATAGATTTCACAAAACTGGGCTAGAAAAGGTCCCCATGGGAAAAGGTCCTCTTACTAGAGTCCTAGGACTTCCTATTCTTCTGGGCCCAGTACCACCTCAAAAGTCAGCCTTCTAGTGTTAGTCTTACAATTCTGCTTCTAGCTGCTACACAACCCAGACATGCAGAAGCCATTATATATTGTGAAAAAGTTAGTTACACCTTAAAAAAATCCACACAATTGGACTACGTCTACACTGGCATGATTTTCCGGAAATGCTTAAAACAGAACAGTTTTCTGTTATAAGTATTTCCAGAAAAAGCGCGTCTACATTGGCAGGATGCTTTTCCGGAAAAGCACTTTTTCCGGAAAAGCGTCCGTGCCAATGTAGATGCGCGTTTCCGCAAAAAAGCCCCGGTCGTCATTTTTGCGATCGGGGCTTTTTTGCGGAAAAGAAATCTGTGCTGTCTACACTGGCCCTTTTCGGGAACAGTTTTCCGGAAAAGGACTTTTGCCCAAACGGGCGCAGCATAGTTTTTCCGGAAAAGCACTGATGATTTTACATGAGATCGTCAGTGCTTTTCCGGAAATTCAAGGGGCCGGTGTAGACAGCTGGCAAGTTATTCTGGAAAAGCGGCTGATTTTCTGGAATAAGTGGCCAGTGTAGACACATCCCAGGAGTTGATTTTCATTTTACCCTAAGCTAAATGATAGCCTTTATTAATTATATAATAGTGTCCTCTATGTAAAATTCCTGAGCATTTCACGGTCAATTTATTAATGGGAAAGGATTGATAAAAAGTAGAAACTTTCTCTAGCTGGTAATTTAACCAGGAAAAATGATGCTGAGGGTTTAAAGTGAACAAACCTCACGTATCCCACTATACTTCAGTTCTGTCAGTCTTGCTGCCATGTTCTCAGAGAGCATGGACACTCTAATTGACTATTCTTTTCCCATTTTTTCTCCTTTCCTTTCCCTCCCGATCCCCTCTCTTTCTCTGCTATTTATCTGGAACCTGGACCCCTTAAACTCCAGTCATCTGAAGAAGTGGGTTGTGCCCATGAAAGCTCATCATCCCACCTGCATGTTTTGTTCGTCATTTTTTAAGTTTTTTCCATGCTCTCACTTTCTCACTTTTTTCAGGTCTTCCCTCTCGGCCACTTCTTTTTTGCTCACTCCTAATTTATGTTCCCTGCTACTGCCCCTTTAAGAATCTTTGATGAAAGAGCCACCCAAAGAACCTATTTCCAAACCAGGGTACCACCACTTGGTTCTGACTTCCCTTGTTTGCAGCCCACCCACTACATTGACATCTGTCTTAGTGACGGGATGGGGAGCGAGACATATTCCTGTCTTCCAGCATGCCTCAAAATTGAAGAAGATTAAATGGAAATCAAACCCCAGAAAATGTTGTATCCCATTGGGTATGGCCCTGTCATGATTCAGCAAGTCTGGAAACTGAAATGTTCCCCCCATGGCTGCTTGTACTGTCAGAGAGAAGTACAGATAAAGCAACAATTACCTTATACAAAATTAGGTCACATTGTCTCATCCTGATGCTGCAAAAAATCATATAGGGTTATTTTTCATTCTTTTTCCCCCCTTCCTCCTTGCTAAAAAGCTGTCCAGCAATGGTCCTTTCACAAGCCACTAAGTTTAGACTTGAACTCTTTACCTTACTGCTCTGACCTTTTTTACCCTGGCTGTAAAACCTGACTGTCCATCCTTCAGTAAATTTATCACCTCAAACTCCCACCAATGCTTCTCTACAATGCATTTGGAAGAAAAAGTCACAGTGGCAGTCCGTTTGTCAAATACCATCATTGCACAGGTTTGCATTTGGAGTAAGGGGATTTGGAAGACACAAGAAAGGTTTTTTGGGGGGAGGGACAAAGTTGCCATCTTTTGTTTCGAAACAAAAATAGTACAATTGTACTGTGGTTTTTTTTTTAAATTAATCTGAAGATGTCAGTTTAATGTTTCCTCATATTCTTCCATGGTTCAAAGCCTTCTTCTGTTTAAATGTGAATTTGCAATATTGTAATAAGAGACTACCACAAAGGAAGAGCAGTGCAGGCCATGGAAAATTTCCGTCCACCGTTGTGATAAGTGGGTTATGATAATAAGAACCTGCCACCTTGTCACCATGTCTACTCAAACAAAAGGATCCCACTGAGGCACAGAGGAACATGAAATGAGTTATGGAGATCAACAAGGTAAAAAGTTCAGCCCTATTGCTATCGGTCCCCTTGCAAGGTCAATGGATGGTTAACAGACATTTCATAGAGGAAAGTTTAGCTTCCAAAATAAACGCTGATTTTGCTCAACCTGGTGAGAATAGAACGGACCCTCCTGGACATAGATGTGTCTTAATATCTGTTCTCAAATTAACTTTGGAGCCTGACAAGAATTAGATCTCACTGCATTTGGCAGAACTGCACGAGTGTTTTCTTTTAGCTTTTGGAGCAAAAAGAAATGGTGTTGAAGATGTCCCTAACCGGCTGAATAAAATGGCAGAGGTTACAGTTTTCCAACTTAAAATATTTGACGCTTTTGAATCTCATATTTGTCTATTTCTAATAAGACAATAATATGTGAAAGGAATTAAAGACAACCCATGACTCAAACAAGGACATCCCACCCCTCTTATGGGCATCTAGATAGACTAATATCAAATATTATGCTTTGCCTTAGTATTACCATGAACCAAAGATATCAATGGAAATAATCCTATTTGTATATTATTTAAAATAATCCTAACCAAAATACTAGACAGGCTAATGACCCAGGTAGCTTATGGGGTTGTCACACTGTTCCAATATAGACATTTATAGAATTTTCAATACAGCTGAAATATACCTGAAAGCAGATTTTCCCTGCAAATATAGCTTAAGACATCACAAACTGAAGGAAAGCTCGGTGATACATAAGACCAGTTAAATTCTGTTCTTTTATTTATTTACCAGAAGCCCTTGATTTCAAGTAAACATCATATGGGGAACGGACTTCTACTTCTAAGTTAGAACAGACACCATTTCACTGGAAAATGGGGTTTCCAGGTTTGAACAGCTCTTCCCTGGCCTATAACTGCCACAAGGATTCCTTTTACCTACGTACTGGATCCACAAATCACACATAAATGTACCCCAGGTCAAACTAGAGGTACAATCCTGCCCTCATATAACTGAAAAATGAGTTTGGAAATCATTTTCGTGTGTTTGGACACATACATACATACATATTCACGTGCACATGGAAATGGAACGCAGTGAAAATACTTACAAAGGCAGGTAATGAACAGAACTTGGACAAGATTAAAATGTTTCCTACCTTCTTTATACAGCCCTCTTGGGATGCCACCTCAGGATCAGTCAGTACCTGCTGTAAAATAATAAAGACAAAAATAAGCCAATTTGCAGTGAAAAAGAATGCTAGTCGATACAAAGGCCAGAGCCTTCAACTGCAGGATATCCATGTAAACATTTTAACAGTTAGCGATAATATTTAAACCAGTACTACAGGATGAACCTCTCTAGTACGCCACTCTTGGGAGGTGACTGGGCTGAACCAGAGAATTTGCCACATCATGGCAGGTCAATATTGTCTAGCAGCATTGCCAACCCTTTCACTGCTTGTTGGGCTCTCAGAAGACATTTAGGGGTGAATTGGAGCTAAATAACAGCACAGAACACTGAGAGTCAGGACTGGTGGCTGTACACAAACTTTATGGGACTGCGGGAAACTTGGCCACATCTTGATAAAGGGACATCTGGATATTAAAATCATGCTGGACCACAGATGTTGCCGGACCAGAGAGTGCCGGACTAGAGAGGTTCAACCTTTACTATTATTGAAATACACTGCAACGGACCTCAGTAATTGTTTTATTCTGGGATGTCTCTCATAGAATTAGTCTGAAATTGATGAGAAGTTAAACCTGCTGCTTCAGGCCTCAATTCAGCAAAGCACTTAAGCCCATGCTTAAATCCCACTGAAGTCAATAAGTAAGCAGAATAATATTAGCATAAATCCTACTTCTTGGGGGCATATTTGGCTAGTGCAGTGGTGGCCCGTCCATAGGTGCGAACTAGGCAGTCCCCTAGGGCGCCAAGTTAAGCGGCCATTGAGGGGTTTGGAGGCGGGGGCGCTGATCGCGCGCCAATCACATGGCCATTGAGGGGTTTGGAGGCGGGGGCTCTGATCACGCGCCAATCATATGTTTTGCCTAGGGCGCCAGTTGCCCACAGCTCATCTAAGGCCGCTCTTGGGCTAGTGCCAAGGGTTTAATGGTTTCTAGCTACTCGTGGTATTCTAAATCCTGCTTTTAAATAATATGCACCATATTTAACATTAAAACAATCACTAATCCTGTGGCACCTAAAGGTGCATCTACACAGCTGGGCTTAACTCGAAATAAGCTATGCAAATTGAGCTATGTCAATTGTGTAGCTTATTTTGAAATTGGGAGCATCTATGCCAGGGCTTTGGAAGCCCCAGAGTCCACAAACTCACAGCACATGCTGAGGACCACAACTTAAGTGTGGTTGTATATACATGCAAATATATATGCAAATATATGCACACACATATGCAAATAGCTTCGTTCACACTGATGGGTATGAATACAAAGATTAAGGCAAGACTACAGAATACGCAGGCCCTATTTAAGTAATTTCTGCTGATATTAATAAAATGCAATATTCACCTGATTTCCATCCATATGACAGCACTTTTAATGAGCAATGACAGTCCAGGAATGTAACTACTAAAACACATCTCAACTGAATTGATGACTTTTTTGTTTTGGCTCTCATACGTGGGCCATTGTGTTGAGCCCCGCAAAAACCCAAACTGTACCGCAGACCGTAAACAAACGGGCCGTGTATAGCGTAGCCCTGGTCTACACAGCACTTATTTCAAAATACAGTATTCTTCCTCTGACTTCCCTTACTCCTCGTACAATGAGGGTTAGAGGAGTTGGAGTAAAAAGTCCTCCAGCTTGACAGTATTTTGACATTATTTCGAAATAACTGCCTGCTGTGTAGATGCGGACTAAGCTATTTCGGAATAACGCTAGTTATTTCAAAATAATGCTGCAGTGTAGACATACCCTTACAGACTAACAAAAATATGTAGAATCATCAGCCTTTGTGGGTAAAACCCGCTTCAACAAATTCATCTGGTTTTACCCAGGAAAGCTCATGATTCTGTATATTTTTGTTAATCTCTAAGGTACCACATGACTACTCATTGTTTTTGAAGTGACAGACTAACCCGGCTACACCTTTGTGACATATTTACAATAAAAAATGGCATTAAAATCTATAATAAAAATGTAACAAAATATATCAACGATTAAAAGGTGACAAAATAAAGGTGGAATGCCATGAATGCAATTTTGTTTCTATATTTTACTCCAGGACAGTAGCATATTTCAAATTAGTCTTGCCTCTTAAAAGGATGTCTGATTGATTAAAAAAAACCAAAAACAGTGTCACCAATGGGACGTCCCAGTTCAGAGCATTCCACTCAAGCACCAGTGTACATTTAGAAAACACGTTTCATACCGAAGGACCTCAAAAACACTTTACTTGCTGGGGGCATACCAGCCATACTAGTATTATTCACTGTTAGTTTGCAAGTGTTTCCCACCAAAAAAAAATCTTGCAGAAATTTTTCAAGTGCTCCAGTTAATAGTTTTTTAGTGCCACATACATATGCAAACACACACACACACACACACACACACACACACACACACACAAAATCACAAACATCCAGCCTAGAGTACAGGCACAGAAAAGCTGGAATGCATCGCACACACACACACACAAAATCACAAACATCCCGCCTACAGTACAGACACAGAAAAGCTGGAATGCATCAGAAAATCCAGAGGTTGTGATTAGAGATGTAAATGGGTAACCGGTTAACCAGTTACACGGTAAGCACCACCCTTACCAGATTTGAACTAAGGTGCTGCCAATGCAAAAGAGGAACTAATTAACCGGCTCTTGGCTGGCAGGAGCAGCCTCCTGCCCTCAGTTAACCATGTGACCAATAGAATTGTTAGCGGTTATAAGGTGAATATATTTATATTGTTTTACATCCCTGGTTGCGATGCAGTCATTTTTGGTATAGATGCCAGAAAACCCCCTGCCTCCAATATACTGCACCAGCAGCACACCTCGAAAAAATTCCATTAGCTGTAAGGATATAATGTATTTGAAAATAACTAAGCCAGGCCCGCAAAAGATTCTAATATACCAGCTCAAGAAATGCTCATGCACTGGAGATGCTCACATTGGAGGAAGAAGGAATCAATCACAGTGGTCTCGGGACAGTAGGGCAGGAACTAGGCGGGCAAAGGGGGAATATGGTTTCCATTATCTTCCATCACCCCTGCTATAAACAGTGTTCTGGTGCCTCAGCACTGTGGGGAATTAGATTGGCATTCACAAAGACTTCCCTTGGGTCAGCATCCCAGCCTTGGTGAGGGGAATGGGTTGGGTTTGGAGGAGCGAGCTCTTGGAGACCTCGTTCAGATGAGATGGATGCTTTCCAACCCACGTGTGCTCATTAAAGGCCTTCTGGCATTTTTTTAACAGCAGGAGTTGTCCTAACTCCAGAGATCTGGCCCAATTCTTGTTTGAATTATTCATATTTTGCCTGTTTATATTCTTCCTCTACCTGCGCATGGTATTCTCCAAATCCTCCCCCTCAGGTGACTGCACTTCCGTGATGGCTAGAGGTTAGAGACAGGCAAGCAGGTAGATGAGCAGGCTAAGTACTTACGTTCTACAAAATGCTCTAAGGAGCCATCAGGGAAAGCACGCTAAAGTTCCAGCCAATACTTCAGCCTCAGTTCAACACGGCATTTAAGAAATTCTATTGATTTTGATGGGACTGCTCCTTAGGATTTATGAGGCCCTTCGCAGTCCTATTAAACTGGTGCCCTTATGCCTGATGGGTGGGGGGTATGATTTTTTACAGATATGAGCAACACACTCCTGAAATATTTTTAAAACAAATTTAGAACGAAGATCCTGTCGACTGACCCAGTAAATTCAGACACTGAGGGTATGTCTAGGCTACAGGCTTTTGTCGACAGAAGCTTTGTTGACAGATACTGTCGACAAAGCTTCTGTTGACAAAGAGCGTTTAGACTACATCCAGTTCTATCGACAAAGCAAGCCGCTTTGTCGACAGGAGAGTATAGATGCAAAGGACAGTGTAGATGCAATAACGCCTTCTGTCAACAGAACTCTGTCGACAAAAGGTGTTATTCCTCGTAGAATGAGGTTTACCACCGTCGACAAAACTGCCGAGTTCTGTCGACGTTATGTCAACAGAACTCAGTGGTAGCGTAGACACAGCCTTTTGTCGACAAAACCCTGTAGTCTAGACACACCCTGACAGTATGTACCTGGGGTTCGCAAATGCCTGTGAAATGGTTTCATTACCCCTTGAAAGGTTCTTTCACGGGTACCATGTTCTCCTAATAGCTCAGGCATTTTTCCCTTTTAACTTAACTACATCTTCTCCGGAGGAAGCAGAGCCACAGAAGAGGGATAGGAAGAGGTTAGTGGGTGGGTGGATATTCAGACACAGTGCTTCCCCAAATTTTCAGTTGCCTTATGCATCCGCATCTTCTGTGTATAGGGTAAGGCTGTTTTTAAGTAGAACAGCTGCTTAAGTTCTCGACAGAGGTTCACGTGCTCAGTACCTTGCAGGGTTATAGCCTAAATTCAATGTCAGAGGGTACTGTGACCATCAGCTGGCGTTGCAAGAGTCCAAAATCCTGAGATGGAAATTTAGGTTATCGAAATTTAAATGAGAAATGTTGCATATTTTAAAGAAAAAAATCCCTTTTTAAACAACAAAACAGACCCTCAGTTGGTGTAAATTGATTTGGGTCTGAAAGCTTAATTTACATACATTATTATTATTATTGCACTTCTTGAGGGCATATCTGGCTAATTTACACCAGGTTTGGGGATCTGTCCAGAAATTAATGGGCCTCTGTGACCCAGGGCAGAGATTGATCAATTTACTGAACTCAAAATGTTGGCAAGTGTCTGAGCTCAGCTGTATTAACAACATGTCATATTTTAAATATTAAGAGTTCTAACTGATTCTATATTTTACATTACTTTTAATAGATCCTGAAATTGTGGTTTGGAAAGGAGCTAAGCATAAACAGGAGTGAAAGGTGAATACTAGAGCCATATAAAAAAAATATGAAGAGAAATCAGCCAGCTATACTGAAAATTAAACAGTTTAACATTCACCGCTCCAAGCAGATTCCACGGAGCTGCTGTTGGAACAGCCTGATCTTCAAAGGAGCTGGGCTTTCATGCTCCCACTAATTTCACTCAGAA